CAGTCAGTGCCTAGCACTCCCCCCCCCGCCCCCCTGCAAATGCACCTGCAGAGGATTGTAAGTTGTGACTGCCCCAGGGCATGGATCAAGAGTCTCCAAGAGAGACTCAGTAGAAAGGAAGAAAAACAGGGGGGTAAAAACTAGTTAAAGGAAAATCTCTGAACAAGACTTACCACTCTGGGCTTCTGCTGGTCCAGGGTATGCAGGAAGGCAGAGTTGGGGTCCAGGCAGCGCTCAGGGTCACTGGAGATGTCCTCCTCCGAGTCCTCATAGGAAGAGGAGAAGCCAGTGGAGGAGGCAGACGAAGAGGACAGTTTCCTCAGGGGCAAGGTGCCCCGGGGACTTCCCTGCACCTCCTCCACGGTCTGGTCCTCCTGGGCACCCATGTCGGTAATGATGACGGCAGGTATATTGCTGGGGCTGCGGGCCTCTCTCGGGGAGGGCTTGTCCTTCGGATCCGGGGACAGCAGCTCTGGGCTGGGATGGGCGTCTCCATCAGGCGGCTGGCTTCCCCAAGTCCCCTGTGGCTGTATTCCTGTGCCACACGTCCAGGCCCGGGCTTCCTCCATGGGGCCCAGCCAAGCCCTGGAGCTCCCAGGCTGCACACCCACCCTGTCTCCAGGAAGGCACTGAGGTTTCTTCAGATCTTTCGCGGATGTCCAGCAGGGCAAAGGCTCCAGCATCGCGCCACAGGGAATTCCTGCCTCCTCCTCCCGGGTCGCTGGCTGGGCTGAGCGGCTGCCCCCAAGCAGGCCGGGTGTCAGAGACCCTTCATCCACTCCGCTGGAGCGCCACCGAGGCTCCCCGACCACCGGGGCCCCACCCTGGGCCGCCGCAGGGCCTACTGAACCCAGGTCTGGAGATGGCTTGACCCGGCTCCGGGATTCAGAAAGCTCCGAGCTTTGCGCGTTCACAGTCCTGTCCTCCGGCCTTCGGGGTTCAGGCGCCCCGGGGCCCCGCACGCCGCCACCGGGCAGATCTCCGTCCTCCACCTTCCCAGGGGGCTCTGGGCTGCAGGGCCCACCCCTCTCTGGGGCTGGGCTCTTCTCTCCGCTCAGAGGCTGCCCGAGACATTGGGCCAGAGACCCCCGGGGGCGCACACCCCCAAGCTCGCGGGGCCTCTCAGCCGGCTCAGTGAGGCCAGGGTCGTGTGGCTGGTGGGGCCCACTGGATGTGGTTCTCACTGCCACTTCTGTGGACGTCACCACGTTCACGCGGATCAGCCCCGCCGGGGGAACTTGGCTGCTGCGCGCTCCCAAAGGCGGAGAGACCCTCTGGTCAGTTTGCATAGCTCTGGGTGAGCCACAGTGGGGTCTGGCAGGGATCCCCTTCTCCACCGCAGAAGCCGCTGGGCCCTGAGCCCCTGATCCTGGGGGGACGGCCGGGCCGGGGAAGGGCACCACCCCCTCCTCGCCCTCGGAGAGGCACTGGCCCGGCGCCCTTCCTCTCCGGCCGGAGCCGGCCTCCGCTGTCTCTGGACATTGCTCCCCCAACGACTTTGTCCTCCGTTCCTCGCTCTGAGCCGGCACCCTTCCCGGGGGCTGGCTGCTGCTGCGGAAGGGGCACGGCGAGGGCGAGCGAGCCCTGCCCAAACGCGGGCTGCGGGGCGCTTGAGCGGCGGAGCTCTGCGCCTGGATGTGCGCCTCGAACAGGCCCACTTTCTGGTTCACCTGCACGTTCTGCAACTCGCGCTGCAGGATTCGCGGCTTCCTCTTGGCCTCCTCCGGCCCGGGAGGGGAGAGGGAGCCGGCGCTCACCACCTGCCGCCCATCCCCTCTGGGGCGGCCCGCCCAACTCGGGCTGCCCACGCCGCCGCCGCC